AGGTGGGCATGGCCTGATTTGTATTAGGTGCCCCAGGGCTCTTTGACCCCCCTCCCTAATAGAAGGGACTCTTCCTCACACAGCCTCTGTCAAAAGGAGAGGGCAAAGGAGACTCAAACTCCACATTAGCTCAAGGCTGTGTCCTGTGAGTCGCTGAGACCAGGCACGTCTCACACCTTCTCCCTTACTCATTCTGACACCAGCATCCTTCCCACGGCACTCTCCCTCCTGCTGGCCCTAGACCTCCCAGACGTGCTCATGGTGATGACCTTGATGAAGATGTTAGCAGGTTATGAGTCAGGATCAGAAGTGCTCAGGATATAGTTCTTTGGTCAGAACAACCTCTCTTCTGTAGTGCTGCCTTTTTCTGGCTACTGCCCTGTTGGCCTGCTCTTCCCCTGCTCTGGCCATGTCACGGAGCTCTTTTAGCACTACTGATAAATGCACCACGGGGCATGCCACGCCACCACCTTAGCTGAAGGCACCCAGTGCAGCTTGGGTCAGCAAATTTAGCCCCTCCAGTCAAGTTCCTGGAGGCCTTCAGTCTGTAAACTAGCCTCCCTGCCTGAGGACACCCACATTGACTGGCTCCTTAGGCCAGGAGGCCCACTACTGTCTTGCGCTTAGGCTCTTGTTTCTGCTGCTGCCACTCCTGTCACTTCTCTGTGTCCAGACTCTACTCCTGGGTCCAGGAGGTTCATTGTCTGGGGTCTCAGGTCTCAGAAGACACACTCCAGCCTTGGCTCTTCTTTCTTGATGAGATTCCCCCTCCTGCTTCAGAGATGGTTTATTTCAGCATGTCAAAACCCACCACTTCCTGGCTAGGGTTCCAAGGTTTGATGTTCACAACTGGTTCCATGAACAACCACTCAGAACTGCATCATAGTATCTATCAGCACCTCTCCCACCTCTCTCACCCATACCATCAGGAGGAGAAAGTGCACACACACCCCACACCCCCATGGTGGGACGGGAGCTACAAGAGCCACACCACAAAATCACTGCGCCCAGCCCTGCCTCTGCCTTGGCATGAGACACAGCAAACGGACAGCTCTCCGTATGTATTTAAAATATAAAGGCACCTTAGGGAAACTACCTGCTTTGCCACAATTTCGAGTCATTTTCACGGTCACAAGGGAATGTTCTAAGTTGAACTTGGATTTGGCCTGAACTACAGAGGGTTGGGGCCAGTCCTTGGGATGGGGATATTGACAGTGTGCTCAAAAGAAAAAAAAATTGTCATAGCTCGATTCTGCAAGCTAAAGTTCGAGTTTCATTCCAAGAACTCTTTCAGAAGGGTCTGGTGCAAGTCCTCCGGATTGAGGGGTTCAGGGGCTGGGTTAGTCAAAGTGTGGCCCCATGGCCTCATCTGCCAGGAAGTGCCGACACACTGCTCCCTTCCTTCTGACAAGCAAGGTGTGTCCTCTGTCCCACCAGACAGTTGTCATATCCCGAATTAACCTGGACACACAGCCCCCATGGTAGCTCCAAGTCCCGGCTCAGTGATGTCCATCCCTTTTAGAGCAGAAGGCCCTACTGCTTTGTGTGTTGCCTGAAAGTCCCTTTCTGGAATCAGGAGACACCTTCAGCATTCCCTTGACACCTGTGAGCCGATCCTTGGGAGAGTCTGGGCTCGCTGTTTGAGGACGTGGCTGGTGCTTCCTTGTGGTTGAATCCAGGCTGT